TTATAACCAGAGTTCGTTATAGCCAGCTTTGACTGTAATAGAAAACACAGACTCGATTATAGTATTAAAGTCGACTGCCGGTAATTCGAACACAAAACTAGCGAGGACGAGAACAACATTTGCTACAATTACACAGAGCAAAAACTTCCGTCAAAGCTAACACAAGAATAAATTTTTTTGTGAGATTGGGTAGACATATTATATCATGCCAAACTATCATCGGGTACCGCCTAGTTATATGATAAACTAAGGCTATCAAATATTTTATATCGATATTAAATTGTCAAAACCAATATTGATGTTGCGTTGCTAGTTATAAAAAACTCAAGTCCTTTGTCGATACCATGACTGGTATTATCGCTAAAGCATATAACTGAAAATAGAAAAAAGACGCGAGTTTTTAATCTATAAACAAATACAGTGTAACATTGATTTATTCAAATAAAGTGTATTTAGACTTTTCCGTGTTTATTGAAGACAAAGCAGAGTGTGAAACATTAACACAGACACCAATAGCATGCTGTCGTATACTTAGTAACATTGCTACTGTCTTTGCTTCGAGGACCATCTGCAAAATTCTCCTTTATTCCTTGTGCTCTTGCTCCAACAAGATAAGCACCAATGATTTGATGTCTGCACTTAATAAGATAATTCTAGTTATAAAAAGACATTGATATGTTTATTGAATAAGTTTGTTCATCGACTAAATTCAAGTTGAGAAATGTACAGATCTTCCAAGAGATATCCTATGCTATTCGATCAAGTTATTGCAAGTGCAAAATTGCCGTAACCAATAATAGAGTAAAAGAAGTAAGTTTTTTCTTCATACTTCTGCCTACGCTAATTAAAAGTTGAACTAAATAGTAATAAATTTGTTATAATACACTTTATAAAACTTTTCTGGTTAAACGTTAAAATATTGTTTACACATTTTAAATTTATTGTCAAAATTTAGTTGACTAACAAACATTAAACTTTATACGATTTTTAATTAAAAACGGTGTCCTTATGCGACAACAAAAGCTCCAGCCATCGCGCAGCAGACACAGAGGTGTTGCATTAAATGGCTGGAGCATCGCCAGTGTTGTGTATAGTAATAAATTGTTCTAATACACTTTTTATAAAATAAACGTTAAAATGTTTTAAAGTCATTATTATTATTCAAAATTTAGTTAAGTAACGAATATTAAACTTTATAAAATTTTAATTAAAAACAGTGTCCTTATGCGATGACAAAAGCTCCAGCCATCGCGCAGCAGACACAGAGGTGTTGCGTTAAATGGCTGGAGCATCGCCAGTGTTGTGTATAGTAATAAATTGTTATAATACACTTTTATAAAATAAACGTTAAAATGTTTTAAAGTTATTATTATCATTAAAATTTAGTTAAGTAACAAATATTAATATTAAACTTTATAAAATTTTAATTAAAAACAGTGTCCTTATGAGATGACAAAAGCTCCAGCCATCGCGCAGCAGACACAGAGGTGTTGCATTAAATGGCTGGAGCATCGCCGGCGGTGTTGTGTTGTGATAGTCCTTTTCATCCGCTTGGCCGTATTTTTTTTGACCCCGTCCGTCTTTATCTCCGCATGCTTGGCCAGGCCTTAAAAATTTTCCGTTGCCCGTATGCCGATCCATGATGAAGAAATGGCTCGACAATGGTAGAGATGGCCAGGACCTAAAGTTTTTCCATCGTGTGTGCAGAACCATGTCTGCATACGGTAAAGGCGAGATGGCCAGGACTTGGTGAGACAACGGTAGAAGGCCTCTTCAATCGCCGTTTCGACTTTGAAAAAAGTTACGCTCTCAGCAGCGTGTCCGGCTGGTCCCAAAGTAAGACTTCTTTTAGGCTCAAAACGTTTATCGGCCTGTTTGTGATTTGTCGTGAACAGTATTGTCAAGAGAGGAATATGTCGGTGTGATGGCAGAAATGAGTATGTGTGGGAACTTATGCCCAGGAGATGTTTTGACGTAAAGTTTGTAATCATTGTACATTTGTAATTTCGGGCTTTAGCAAGACAAGTTGCGTATTTTTTTTTTCGAGCCGCATTAAATAGGGAATGGGTTCCTTATTGTATACGAGTACAAATAGTAGTCGACATACCATTGTTATACCGCGCAGTAATATACACCATATTTTAAGAGAAAGGGGTGAAGCAGAATTGTTAACAGTCAATCCAATATTGGAAGCAATGGTCCGGATAAGTAATTCCATCATTAATTAATATAAATATAATATCAACACAGTTATTATGTCCCGCAACCCTTCCCAAATGGTAATAAATAATTGGTTATTTACGGCCGAAGAATTTAAGTTTGTGGAATTTACTGTATCCATTGAAGATTAAATGTGGTTCAAGTGTAGACCGTGACAAAGCGTAACGTGGTCTATCGAATTTTCGCCTGGCAGACAGAATGTCAATACTCAGTTGTCATATTAATAATGTCATACCTGGTTTTACTGAATCGAACGAGACATAACACAAAAACAAATCCGGAAAATCAAACCGCATATTACTCCGATGTAAATATGTAGATATTGTAAATAAAGACGTAGGCAAAGATACTAAGGTTTGTTCAACATCAATACATATCAAAGAGCGAACGAACAATAGACTCAGAACGTTACACGGTAAGACATTCAGTCTTGATCGTGTATACTTGGACTATAAATAGAACCCCGAATGAATGATGATGGCGAAGCAATAAGAGTCACACATATTGTTTGTCAGGGACATTCACGACGAGATTGGGAACTTGCTTCAAGCTGACATTCGTCATCGTGCATCGAACAGACAAATTAATCTAACATTAATATCCTTGTCTGATTGCCTTCCAATTGTTCTCTCCAAAATGTTTGCTCGCCCCTCAAAACTACCAGATATTCCCGTGTATCACGAGTGTGACACATCAACGATAAAATTGTCTGCGCCTCAAGATTTTGCCCTTTTCATCACATTATCTTGTATCACTCTGGGCACAGGTCATAGATTAAGAAATCACGATGGCAGCATGGGACCGGACAATCATTTTACCGACAAATAACTACCAAAAAAAGGATAATTTCGAAATAATGTTGGGAAATTTTGTCGGTGAAGTGAAATGAACCAATCGAATCGGGATGCTAAGCGTATCTTACGGTTTCTCTACGGTTTCTTTGCGGTTTCCATGCTTTTTTTACGGTTTCTTACGGTTTTCTCATTACTAATTATAATAGATTATCAACAAATCCTGGATCTTGGTGTCTCGTAATGATTGGCTACGAGTATTTGTTTGTACAGGTGCGTCGATGCTCGCGGTATCACATAGTAATCGTTATTTAACTATTTAAGTTGCTAAGAAACTCGGTATCGGTAAAGAACGAAATCTTTTATCGATTCAAGGTTTATAAAATATTTCGATTGTTAATATGTATTGCACTCCACCGACGTTTGATCTACTTGCAACTACAATCATTATTATACCGGCATTTTGTAATTCTTTAGGAAAATATTGTGTATCTTGTTCCTAAACTCAGCAAAGCGCTCTCCCCACCCGTCGTCCTATTTACTTCAGCAGACTAACCTCTTGGTGATGAATGGAAATCTGTACGTGGCATTTTTTGTTAAATATAATTGTTGCGAGAGCATATCAAATAAAAAAACGCAGACCGGTACTGTACTTTTTGCTGAAACAGAAATATATTTAGAAAAACACGTTACGATGACGCAAACCAATTTTTACATTGCTGCATAATAATTTTGACAAAAATCTCACTGATTCTCAAAAAGCTGGTATATTAACATAGCAACAACAACCAGGTTACAATGACGTAGCATCGCAAAATGATGTATCAACTCTGACGCAAGAAGGCAATCAAGGCAATCATTGCAGAACCGCGCTTGCTTTCTGTTGCAATTCATCTTTGACTATTGTGCTTTCGACATAGTAAATAGTGATTGATGCGTCATAATTATAGTGTCAGGGTTGGCTTCAGCTAACTGCCATATGTGCCGCAATGTAGCGGCAAAAAATCAGTTGTATTAATGCTTTGGAGATGTGAAGCGGCGCGTACCGCAATAGAGAGAGCGTCCGAGTCATATGTATGAGCTATGTGTGAGTAGACGTGTGCTTGAACTCCTTCACCAGTTAGTGGTCTTGGAGGCTTGTCGTATGTGACGTGTCGTGGCGGTAAAGAAGGGTTTTTGTATTAAAGCTGTGATGAAGTGCATGCTCAATAGAAAGAACGTCTGAGTTGTATGTATGAGTAGGTAATGCTCGTCATTTAAAGCATCAGGGAAGTTACGCGGGCTTGGGAATATGGACCATATTTGTTCGGAAAATTTTGATTGGCCCCATACATTAACGTAAAATTTTGGCTCAAATTTGGAAAATTAAGCAATCGATTTAGGTAAAACTTAAAATCACTCGTGCGCGTTTAGAGCATTTAGCTTTAGGGAGAGTCGACTGTACTAACACTACTCCTTAAACATTTCTCAATTAGCGTTAGACATGAACATCTTTCGATTTATGCGAAGGTGGGTATCCCGAGTGTATTGAAAATTTTCAGGAACCATAGTAATATTAATAGGGTATTCGAGACACCCGAAACGTTAAACCCTGATTGTTCAACGATTCTTACTTGAGAATTCGCTTCTCATTCTTGCCGACTTCTGCGGCTTCAACCACTCTTTCTCTAACTTCTTTGACTACTGACCCCTAACTTCATTCACCGCTCTCCCGACGCCCGCATTTCTGATGCTCCGATTTTCGATGCTTCCCCTCGTATCCTGCCAAGAGCCAAAAAGTATATTTACTCTCCTGATAGTTTTCCAAACACCATCTTCTTTCCGTACTCGTCATCATATAATTTCAACGAGTGACGTATTCAAAAAAATAATTGATGTCTGGCTAAACAGAGCCAATCCAACTGCTGGAAATCAATGTAATGTTGCGTGTTCGATAAGTTGTTCTGGACTATTCAAAAATCTGTGTATATGTAAAGAGTGTAGAGGGTTTCATCCAGGGAAAAAGTTGCCGTCAAAATCTTGGATGTTCATACGCGGAGGGCTCGTGTCGGAAAAGGACAGTGCTGTAAGTTCAATCAACAGGAAGTGAATAGAGTTGGTCATGCTGAGAGAAATATTGCAGATACTGTAGGAGAATAATAAGAAATTGTGGATATGTCAAGGAAACGAGAATAAACCAAAACTATGTAAGACGACTACGCTATATCCCACACTTACACCTTCCAATTGTTAAGTGTTTCGACCAAAACTTCACCTTGATCTGCGGCCAATTGTACGGCATTTCTGATACACGGAAATCAGCAATGGAACAGCGATGGCATAAAATGGCACCGAGAACAGCTGTGCGTTGGAGGTCAAAGTTTTTGAAAACAATAAAATCGTGACGAAAGAATGGTTGAAATTAGGAGAGTTGATGCGTCAGCTGAATTGATGATGGCTGTTGATGCAAGCAAAGCCTTGGGGTAGTTTGGCCCTAAGCGCTTTTGGGTCGCTATCAATATCTATAAAAAGAATAACCGAAAACATCGAACAAGCCAGTACAATAAAATATGAATAATATACAACCATCAACAAGGATAACATGACAACATCAAAATGCTTATCTGATATAATAATAAGTCCTATCATACAAATACCAATTTCAAACTCTTTCAGATACACTTATACGAGAAACATG